GGGTAGCTATATCTCACCCGGTAGACGCATCACGGATGAAATGTCAGCTCGCACACAGATGGCTCGATCGGCATTTGTTACTTTGAGACACCTGTGGCATCCGGTTGTCCGTGAAGGGTAGATTGTACGCTGCGGTAGTTCGATCAGTTCTGCTATACCGTGCTGAGACTGGGTCATTAAGAAAACAGAGATAGGCTGCCAGTGTTCAAACATCGCTACCTACGCAGCATTGCATAGGTCTGGTGCAGCAACCCGAAGAGTAATACCGAGGTCAGGCAAAGAGTTTTAGGTAATCGCGATCGCCCCTTAGAGCAAGTGATCGACCTCCGTAGATTACTAGGACACTCGGTCACATAAGTTGCTTTATTCTCGCTGGATGGGGACTTCGGGATCATCGTGATCGATGGGTAGAGAATTGATTAACATATCTGGGTGTCGTAAACAGTGAAACTCATGCACCCACTCAATTTCCTTGCAACCTTAGCCTCCATGAATTCTTTATTTTAATTCTGACAATGATCAAATCTTCTCTTACCGCCCTCATCCAAATGGGGAGTCATGGTACAGCAATCCTTACCGGCGCACGAAAGTATATATTTAATGGTTATGAAAACTTTAAAAAAAACTGAGCTGAAGATGCTGTTCCCCCATGGAAACTGGTAACCTAAGCACAAGTCACGCTCAGTTTCGTAAACAGATGGCATTTTATATCGTACGAGAATCGTCGATAACAATACATTTAACAGTAAGAGGAACAACAGCGGGGTTTACCGGTGAACAGCCGAAAAAGACTATATGGATACTTTTACTTTTGTACAACTATCTCCTGCGAGAGGACGCGCAGGCTTCGTGAATGTACTGTCATGAAGAGTCTTGAGAATTTTGTGCAAGATGACGTGCCCAGCGCTACCTGGGGCGGCATATTTCCCTGCTACTCAAACCGGTTAACGGACATTTTGAAGGAATTCCATCTGGATGCTTTGGTTATTCAAAACCTCGTATTGGCTTCAGAATGACGGTAAAACATATTCGAGAATTAGAACCATTTTTTGCTTGCCTGTTCTGTATGAATACTTGTTCACATGATAACAGGCATTCGTTGCATGGAGCATTCGTTCCCGCTCACTGCTCCTATTCTAGCATAGATTCCATCAGGATCGTCAACATCCTGATGTTGCTGCTTGAGTTAGTTCTCCAAACGTTATTTATGTCAATAGCAACTCCGACAAAGTTTCTTCACTTTGGACAGAGGACAACCAAATACGTCGGATACTCAAATGACTTACGAGGGAGGCCCCCGAGAGTGAGAATGGAGTGGGTGACTGGCGTAGTAAAAGATGGAAGAACGTCCGAAGATTCAGTCATGGTGAGGTAAGCGGATAGAAACTCGCTGTAGGAAAACTGGGACTGATGGATCTGAAAGTCATCACTCGAGCATGGGCACTAAAATTACGTTCAAGATCAGTCAAGATACGGCGGTGAGTGTCAACGGATGGACAGAAATGCTGCAGGAAGTCGATTCCAAGGATAGGGAATGGGACGTCGGTAACAAGGAAGTCTCAAGTGGTGACTTGGTGCAGACAGAAGTCTATCATTAGCCGCCAACTATCATATCTTGTTTGAAGTCCAGTTGGTGGTGAACAGAAAAGGGAAGGATTGGGGGCAAGGGATTATGCAGTAATTGGTGGAACAGCACCGATCTCGGCTCCTGTACCTACTAAAAAATAGACTTCTGACAGCCTTTCTTGAATGTGAAAGAGGTGGCTACCGGGTTTGGGATCAACGGGTGGTGCCGCACTTAGTCGTTGGTGTTTCGGTTGCCCTGTGGTAATGACCCCATATATATATATATATATATATATATATATATATATATATATATATATA